TCAAAAAAAATATGCGAGCCTCCATAAAACACACTGGTGGTACTGCTTACAAAAATAGTGAGCTGATATTCAAACTAAATTAGGCTTTAACAGATATTAGTCTAATTTTGTGAGAAAAAATAATGTGCAGTAAAATTGGGCATGTAATAAAAAAATAGATTTATGCACTTAAATATTAATTTAATTAAAAACAAATGGTACTGCCTAACATTTGTTAGTATTTATTTATTTTTTTTAAATAATAAACACTAGCATCATTTGGTCAATAATGAGCAAGTTCAAGTAAAAATATAGTAGCCATTTAGGTTTTGAAAAAATAGGAGATTTTACTTTGAAATTACGACCAACATGTCATGTTTACAGTTAAAGCTCCATGGAGTAAAACACAGCTGAGGCTGGTCTCCCCCCCCCCCCCCCCCCCCCCCCCCCCCCCCCGCCCCCATCTTGTGAAGTGCTCTACCAATAACCATCAGCGTCTCACTTCATGATGCTGTAACAATCAGTAATTTTGCCAATCAATTCATTTCTTGTTTCAAAAACAGATTATTGCTTAAATAGCAAAAGGTGCCGACTTATTTTTGAACATTTTACTGATAAAGCCTCCAAACTGAGGAGGGTTGTAGTTATTAAAACCTAGCAGTGCTTAGAGGAGGTACAGTCAGGTTACAGAAAACTATATGATTTTTGAGTTTCCAGTCAGTCAAATGAACATCTTTTAATTTTGGTAACCAGCCCATAGATTCTATCGTTTTCTGTTTTTGAAACATTATGCATTCATTACATTTTCAAACTATATATTCTCCAACAAAAATGAACTATAACAAACTTAACTCACTCGAAAAATGTATAAAATACTGTATCTGTCAATCAATTAATATTCATCAAACCTTTATTCATACAGGTAGATACCTATCCTCATTTACAATAGAGGCATGATAGGACTTAGAATAGCAGTAAACATGTTGAATAAAAGAATGTAGTTCATTCTCCCTGTTGGCTTTCTCTAAAACCACAATGGTGTACACAAACCTTTTTGTGCAGTAAAATAACCCACAAGTCTCTCAATTGTAAGCAGCTCTTGCATTAATGGTGAGCAGGAGTACAAGGTGCAGTGTGGTAATATATAGAGGAATGTCTAAGAAGCTGACAGTGCCCAGAAAAATGTAGCTATCTGGTGGAGGAGGGATCAAGTTCTTAACCTCTCTTCTGACCTTGTGGTAAAGACAACAAGCAGCTCCTGATCTCTGTGGCATGCTGCCTCAAGACCCCAGTGTCTCTTCATTGCTATGTGTGTGTGGGTTTGAGTATGACGGAACTGGAAAAAGGGAGTGTGTCTTTTAGAAGAAAACATTTAAGTACGGTGTAGTCACTTCAATCTAGAGGCACTGTACCTTTATCGTAATGTGTTGATTTGCTTTATCTACAGTGAAATGTGTCTAATATCCAAACATTAAGTAGAGCCCCTCTGCTGATTTGGAGCACAATCCCGGCTAAATCAGTGATCAACTATGATACTTCGGCCTAGCAGAGCACCACATCCCAGGCTACAGTTTGATATAATGTTTATATATTCTCCTATATATATATATATATATTTTTTTTTATCACCCACCATGCAACTCTCCTTACCATAACAAAAACAAGCTGCCGTTTTGCACAGCAGTGCAATCCTTTACTCAGAGAGCCTTTTAATGGCCTCTCCAGATTGAGCCCTAATTAGCTGTTAATCATTTAGGGCTCATAACCAGAGTGAAGACAGCCGGCATGTGTGTGTTTATAAGCAGGCGTGCAGCGACGTGTGTTTGTGGCTTCTCTCCTTCTGTCTATCCTTGTGTTGCGAAGCCATTAGCAACAGAATTACTAAAGAGTGCCAAACAGCCCATTAACTCCTTCACTCTTCCTCTCGTTCCCTCCACCATGCTCATCTCTCTCACAACGGCCCCACAGTTACCAGCTGACACCCTCTAATGTCAGCTATCTGTCATGACCAGAGACCTGTCCACCCACATATCCCTGCCAACACTCGCCCCCAGCATGGTTTGTGTATGATCTGTGCTGTTATACCACTGCATCTGTCCACTTGGTAAAACTACCACAACAAACCCCGTTTTCTCTTTTTTACAGAGAATGTTATATTAAGTCTGTATATAAGTTTTGATAAAATGTTATGTGTGACTGCTAAATAAAGGATTGTCTGAGCTATGAGCGGGCCCTAAAACTAATACAGTGGCTCTATCTAATAGGGAAGCTGAATCTCACACTCCCAACTGGAACAGAAACCCTGTTATTTAACCTTTTATAGCTCAGATGATCTATATGAGGATCTAGGTTCTTAATATGTAAAATCCAGAAGCTGTGCAAACCACTCCAAATATGCTGCATTTGAATTTAGCACAAAGTAAATTCAACAGCAGGTTTTGGGTTAAATGAACATAAACAAAAACATCCATCCCATCAGATTTCTACAATGGCACAGCAGAAAGCTCAAGGAGAATCAAGAATCTTTACTATCATAATGAACTCATAGTGAGGTTTAATCACGACTCTCAGGTAAGACTGTACATAAACAGAACACAGGAAAAAAAAGAAGAGAGAAAACAAAATAGAGAAATGATGAGGCACCACAGGACAAAAAGTGGATTACCTGAAGGAGCGGATAAACACCCTTAAAGAGAATCATGAAAATATGTAGATCTGGTGTAGCACAGTGTTTTTACATAAAGGTGACCATGGGAAATGTACCTTTTACAGGGAAACAAACTGTTTTTAAGCCTGTTTGTTCTGGATGTCATGTTCCTGAATTGTTTTCCTAATGAAAGTGGGACAAACAACAAATCGTCAGGTTTGATTCCCACAGAGGACTGAGGGATACTATCCGTCAGTTCCAGAATGATCCATTTCACAACTTTTCCAGACTCCAATTTCTAAATGTTGCCAACGCCCCAGATCCAACAAATACATTCGTTTAGGGTCTGGGGCCATTTTCCACACTAATTAAACTGTGTTGCATCTGCACACACAATTACAGTGATTATTTTTCCATATCCCAACTTCAGATTTTGGAAAATAATAAATATGAACAAAAACGCTTCTATTTCCCTTTAGGTTTTTGACCAGAACATTCAGGCAGTGTTTTTTGAAGATGAGACCCCTATGGATGCTGACAAAGAGAACTTTTTTTTTCTTTTTTTTTTATCAATGTAATCTCATCTTTGAGGCCTTTAGTTAGAAATCCAAATACAAACTGTCAGCAAGGTCAATAAAAACATTTGGAAAATAAATGATTTAGCATTTAACTCAAAGAGGTTTTAAAATGATTTTTGTATACATTTTAGACCTTTGTATAATAAAGTCAAACATGTTTCTATTCTCTGGTACTTATGGAAACATTTAAACCCAATGCCAAACAAATATACACACATATACTATGAGAACAAAAGGAATATGCTCCATATACTATAGCTTAACTTTTCTAAATCAGTAAAATATACTTTTGTTTAACGAAACTGACCCAAGTCTTCAGTCTATAAACCAGCATGCTTCCACAACAACAAGCCTCCCAAGGCCCAAAGCAGACTGACAGCCAGAAACCAAGTGCGTGATTAATGGCAGAGGCATGGTCATATCAGTAGGCTGGTTAACAGACACCCCCCATCAGACTACACAGGTCACAGAGCACACCCAGCCTCATCAGCATCCATTACCACTGTGAGCTCAGAACACGACCAAAGCTGCTAATGCTGGGGACCCAAAAAAACATAATTACTTTCAAATTATTTAAGAGCAAAGCCAATTCGGTTAGGTTAACTCCTTTAAAACAAACAAAACCTGTACAAATGAGAAAAATTTTCTACTAATGTGACATCAAAAAAATACTAAATATTCCAGGTGTCATGAGCAAAACAAAATCATTTGGTGAGCTAAGCTCCCCTCAGTGGGCTTAGCATGCAAAAGGAGAGAGACATAACAGACAAAAATCTGACACAAACAGAGACGCATAAAAAGAAACCTTCTCCACATTTACAAGGGTTTCGATATAACAAACAGACCAGCACAGTGTTGTCTCACCGGCACCAGTGCTGCAATAGGAGAGACACTCAGCCCATCGGCTCCATGTAGCGGCTAGCCTGAACCAAAAATGAGATGCTGCTGGAAGTTTAAGCTCCACTAAACATATAAATGCTGTTTGAAGACACTTTCCCTCTGAGGTTGATTGGGAGGGAAAAAAGTCATGAGGTTCAATGCCACATACCAGTTGTGCTAATGGTATGATATCTATGTTTGAGAGCAAGCATGAATAAAGCTTGTCTTATTGTGGCAGAGTAGAAGTGAACCTCCCAAACAAAATGAGCAAAATAAAATTCTCCTGTTCAATTCTTTGTTTATAAGACATGGACAGACCAATGACTGTGCTCCAATGGTCGGAGCTCCTAGGTCAAGATAAGCCTCCAAAGTACGCAGCTCTAAAAAAATGCAGCACTCCAAATTGTTCCGGTAAGGTACCAAACAGGAAAATACAAAATGTAGAGCGGACTTAGATTTCACCAATCAGAGGCCTCCTGTCCGCGGCACTGTCTGCGGTCACCTACAACTTTGGAGAGGTGCACCAGAGTGTCTGCAGAAGGATGGTGGGGGGGGGTTATAAGAGTTAACAGTGTTAACTGTTACACACACGGGGACCACCTGGATTCTGAGCATTAACCAGCCTTAAGAAGGCAACATTTGCTGCATTCCTTAATGTAGAGCTGTAGATATCTGTTACTCGGTCTAATAAGGTTTACAAGAGACCTTAGAGAGAATAAATTGAAAACTAAAGAAAGAAATTTGTAAATGTGAATGCCAGAGATTATGCTCCAGCAGTAAAATAACAGACTGACTAGAGTTGCTGCGATCAGTTGCGAATGAGCAAACCAGCCACACCACAGTGCTTCTATGTTCAGCGGATCAGAGGCTAACTTCTGTGTTTTTTCTAAATTCGCTGTGCCTCTGATGAGCCTCACCTGTCGGTTAATGCGAACAAACTCCTCTGGGCTTTTGGCCCAAGGTGGAAGATCCACATCAGAGACCACAGTGCCATCCTCCATATTTCCCAGGTTGTAGTTGTTGGCGTTGACAAACATCTCAGGCAGATAGAAGAACTCTGGGATCAATTCCTGATATGAAAAAAATAGAGAGTTTGTTGAATTTACAAGGATTTTGCAGGTCTACAAAAATAACTTATATAAAACAGAGATGTAGAGTTGATTCTAGGAAGTTGGAGTCAATGGTCTCTATGCACAACTCCACTAATTTCTGAATTTAAGACAACTCTTTTGTTTCCTGTCGTTTTCTACTAGATGAACTGATTAATCCAGGTGTGCCTGACCTCAATAAACATGGCCAGACGCATCTGGATTAAGCAGTTCGTCCAGTAATGAAAGACAGGACATAAACGAGCTGCCTTAAGTTAAGGAAGTAGTGGAGTTGTGCATAGAGCCCATTAAAACTCAGTTTAGACATTACCATTTTAGGCTTTATTTGACGAAATCACAAGCAGAAGTAATAAAAAAAAAAACTTCAACAGAAAGAATGTTATTTATGCTAACCTTTATAAAAGCCAAATCAAACAACCTCAATTCATGTTGCAGATAAACAAAACTACAGTGCTGTGACTGAATTTTGGTCACAGAAATAATGGGTGATTCTTTTGCTAACAGAACATGGTGTTTGAGATAAATCGAATTAACACCTGGAAAACGCCTAGTAAAGGTGACAATTTTAGCAGCTGGCTAGCTCAAGTGGTAAATCAGCCGTCCTGCATACAGGTTCGTATCCCAGCTGGGGGGATTGAGCTACCAGTGTGGGTCCTTAGGCAAGACTCTTCACACTAATGCCTGCTTTGCGCTTGGAATCCTGAGGTTCTAAGTTCAAGCCCCACTCCCACGGACTGCCACACTAGGTCCGTGAGCAAGACACTGTCACAAGTACAGAGCTCGAAAAAAAACCCAAAGGGGTGAATCCACATTGCTAACATTATTTGTTGGGAAAATTAAATGATTACTCTAAACTAGCTTCATCTGATAAAATGTACTATTGTTTAAACCGGTTCATGGAAATCCTTTTAATTTGGTATAAAATATGATTTACAATATTTTTGTGTGATTTGTTAATAGAACTGAAAGAACAGAGATTTAATCATAGCTCTAGCGGAGGTTATCTTTGTAGCTTTTAACTCTGAAAAGAAAGAAAAAAAGAAATATACAGTACACAAAGATTTCTTGGATGGTTGGAAAGAATGGTTTGTATGATCAACCCTGATCATTATCTTTTATTTAATTATAGGAAGTAAAAAAGAAAAGAAAAACTAAAAAGCCATTTTTTCCCCCCTTCTCCACTGGTTTTAAACCATCTGCAAAAAAAAAGAAAACGTCTACTTCCGATTTTTTGTTTTTGTATAACAGAGAAAAAAAGCAGGCCAAATTTTCTAGCTATTATGGTTTTATTTGGCTGTCAGGAACAATACAACAGCACATTTTCAAACTCCAGGATTGCAAAGAAAAAAGACATCTCTGGTAGGGGACGTAACCTTATATGTTTAGCCATTTGTCATTCCTAACAAAGCAGAACTTGCCACAGTGAGAATAAACATGAGGATCATGTCAGAGTTTCACAACATGTAGATAAATCAGAGTTGCCCTCCAGCCTTCGGTTGTATTATTTTTGTTTGCATGTCTATCATAATGAAAGACAATCAGTACACAGAGCGGTTCAGTTTTTGGATGCCTGCAAGTAAAGTGGAGCGTAAAATGTACAACGTTGACATTAATCTAAACCCTACTCCCCCAGTGTCTTCACATGCACTTTAAAAAAGCTGACGTATTTATTTCCTATTGGGCTTTGATGAAAGGAAAGATTTTCTTTGGGTAAAAGATGCTCAGGTTTTTCTGAATTCAACCACTTGTTTTTTTTTTTACTTTTACTGGGGAGTAGAGCAGGTCAATCGAAGAAACGCCGATTTCTCATAGTTCCTCTTCTGATGGACTGGTAACCAGTACTTTCAGGGTCCTCATGCAGTTTTCTGTTAAGATTTCAGCATTCTGACATTTTACTTAATGAAAAATGTTGGTTGGTGGACGGAAGATTGGACCAACAATGGAGAGAAGATTAAAATCTACAAGTAGAAATTATTTTCCTCTATTTTCTTTTTCACATATTTATCCTGTTCTGGAAAACCCAACCGCATTCCTCACTGTATTTTTCTAGATCGTCTACAAACTGAAGTTCAGCTTTAGTTTAGGACACTGGACTATAACATTATTAAGATGAAAACTGTCATGTTTCCACCTCAGCAGTCAAATCTGCAAACAAACTGATAGCTTGACGACAACATGGCGCTTCCTCACTCCTGAAATCCTTTCACTTCACAAAACTTGACCTTAAAACTAAAGGTCAACACTTTAACGAGGCCCTCGGCTCACCCGGGTTCACCGACTGCTGCTTGCTGTAAATTTGAGCAGGTCGTCGCTCAAATCTAGATTCCCCCCCAGCCACCCCACCCAACACACACACGCAAGCTAACAAAACCTTGCAGGCTTCACTCGCCAGTATTCAAGCTTACCTAGTGTGGACCATTATGTGCGGTGGCCCCTTTGCTCCAGCTTGGTCAGAGGCCAGCCCCTCTGATCCCCAATCCTGTCCTGTCACGGGTCACTGGAAGGGGCTTTGGCCCCTAGGCTCTTAGGCTACACTTCCACTCTTGCTACCTCTAACTCCACTTCTACTCTGCTTCCCCCTCTGATGCCTCTGGGCCAAGTCTAGAGGTCAGGGGATTGGGGACAAGAGGTCAATCCAGCGTCACCCAGGCTAGAGACACATTAAATCTGGGTGTTGTAACCTATTATCACCTAGTCTTTTCCAGTGGCATAAGAAAACAGAAGGGTCTTTTGCCCTCTGGCAGAGACAGAGGTTTGCTATCAATGGCCCAAACGCAAAAGCTAAATGGTGTACTTAGCATACCTAATTGATACATCTCATTCCCAATTCCTCCATTGCTCCGAACAAGAATGTGCCAATCCAGGTGGATAAACTCGACGGACCTTCATTCAAAGCTACAAAAAATTCTAACTAAGGAAGGAAACAAACTGATGCGGACCAGATTTTTTCTTTGTTTTGATCTGAAGTTGAGCTCTCACAGTTTGATCCACATTGACAGGTCTAGACTGAGAGAGCAAACGAAGGCTGTTGTTGGGCTTTCGCAATCAAGCATTGGCCAGCTACACAGTAACACAATCCATATGTTTTATCTGAGGAAGGCAAAGGGGTGGGGGGGGATGCAATCAAGCGTCAAAGCCCCCAACACCACTGCTGTTCCCCCCATCCATTGACCCAGTGCCAGTGGAGCAAGCAAACTCAGCTCTGACAGTCGATGTCTAACTGTAGTTGTAAATGTTTTAGGAGAGCAGTTAAAGAGAGCACCGGGGCTCCGAGGCCCTCAGTATGAGAATGACCTGAGCTGTTGCAGGGCAGATCCAAAATATCAGCAGAGTTTCGGGGGCCCAATGGACCGTGTTATAGCTGGCTGAATCTGAGACAGGCAGCTAAGACAGATGAGGATTAGTCTATAGCTTTGATCAGAAGACCAGGAAGCTTTCATAGCATGGGGACAATGATTAGGACTGACAGAACACTTCTCTTTGGAAGCATTTTTTCTGCTTTTTTACAAAGCTTAGCAGGATTTTAATGTTCTTCTTTTTTGCAGTTCTCAGAACTGTAACTGTTTTATTAATGTTTTATAAATTTGGTGCCTGCAGGGTTAGTGGTGGAGAGTACCTTAACATCAGATGTGTCTCTCTGGCAATTCCTCCAGGCCCTGGACAATGAGGAGAAGGTGCGGTCTGCATGGTCAAACTTCCCTCCTTGAAAGTTAAGGAAGAATGTGGTGAAGGGTTCCTGCAATAAGAAAAGTAAAAGAAGAATCAGATTTTGGACTTGTTTTACTAAAAGCTAACAAACCAGGATCCAATCAGAGGGAAATAATAACTGGAGATGCAACAATAAATAAGCCTGTAAACAAAATGCAGAGATTTTCAGCTTGACTTTACCTTGCTGTGTCTGACTAGTTAAAAAGCAAACATCTAATTTAATACATTTGGGAAGCTATTTGAAATGATGCCATTTTAATTAGAGATGAATCCTCTTCATTTAGGCTCCTTCAACACAGTGTGAAACATCAATGGTATAGAAAATAGCATCCTCTGCTGATGTTTCATCCCAATGCAGCATAGCAAACTCATCGTGCTCCACTGTAAGCAGCTAAAGAAAGAGAGGCCACTTAGTCTAGTTGGTTTGTCCTTCTATTAAACAAAAAATATGCATAATGTAGATTTTTTCAAACTATGGTTTAAAAACTAAACCACGTCTGGTTTTTATTTAACATTAGTTTAAATTTTGCTGTTTGCCAAAAATACATTAGACACATTTTCAGAAATTGAAATAATATTTCTAAAATAAAAAAAACATTGGTTAGGTCAACAGAGATTGTCTAGGGCTCTTTTATCCTTGGTAACATCTAACTACTCTGTCATTCAATTATCTAAATACTAGATTTTATAAAAGGTAAGGGTCTGCATTATGTAGGTAAAATATTAAAAAATAGTATTTAGGTTTAGATATGCTAATCAGTTACCCCAAATCTTTACTACAAGTTGATCAAAACAATTTAAAAGTCACCGCCAAGCCATTAGCCTTTTCTCTAAAACCTTTACAACACTATTTTACAGTGACCATAATACCACCCACAATATTACATCTCATTACAGTACAGTACAGTACAGGAAAGATGCATATTTTCATTTGCTTGAAAATAAAAGAAGCACTTTCAGTATCAGCGGACCTATTCTTTGAAAAACTAAGGTTTATACAGGAGTCATAAATCTATGATTAGTGTATCTCTAGCAATAATGCACTGAGCTACTTTACTCAATATATGCACTTGATGAGTCTCTAACCATGTATAATCCAGTTAGGACGGATCAATATCTGTCTTTCTGATGCAAGTGCCTGGAAATTGCATGGGCAAAATATTCTGGGCCGATATTGACAGTTGACTGAAATCTGCTCGAAATATTATGTATAAATGTTCCAGAGATATTTACAAGCAACATATGGTCGCCCCAAAAGTGAATCCATAGAAAGTTTGATCATATTTTTTTCCTTTGATTGCCTGCTTTGTAAGTGAGAGCTATGAGCGTTGGTGAAGTGGCTTTAGAATAAGCTGGCTAATGATGTGTGGGGATCAATGTACCAACTCTACAGGGAGTTTCTCAGACAGTGAGCTACTGGGACAATAACAGCAAAAAGGAAACGGAGAAAAAAAAATCACTGCATGTGGGAGAAAGTTAGTAACCTTCTTCTCCCATGGGTGCAGTTGTAAAAAGATTGATTGGACCCATTTAACAAAAGGTGCATAGAGAGAAGGAGAGTGCTTTACTGCTTAAGGCAAAAACACTTGAATATAAAAACAAATTAGAACATCAAAGCATAACTCAAAGGAGTCGATATTTAAAGAAAGTCTGAGATGAAAGTCATATATGGCAGCAAAACTTTGAGTGATTATTAAATACCACAATGCATCTGAAAGCATGCAGGTTAGCTGGTATAAATGTTGTTAACAAAGGCATCATTACTATACGATTAATTTGTCATTTGTTAGCATATACATGATGATAATAAAGAATAAAAAAGTAAAGCTGATGCAATTTTTATTTCAGTTCTTTTTATATCATTTTCAATAAACCAAAGCATTAAAAAGTATCAATATTTCTTAAACTCTTCGATATTTTGCCACCTTTAAATAAACTTAATCATATATTACTGGTATTTATTTCACAGAACAGCAGATCAAACAAATTTGGACAGAATAATATCTTCTTCCACCCAAAAAAAAAAAAAAAATGCTTAAATGTGCAACACTGCAATCACCAGTTCAAGTCTTTTTAGGTCCTATTACTGCACTTTGAGAAAATGGAATTTTAATATTGGAAAAAATATAGAGGATGTGAGTGTGAATGACTGAATGTAGTGTAAAGCACTTTGGTCAAGTCTCCTGACTTAAAAAAGCTCTATATAAGTACAGGCCATTTACCATTTACCAAAGATGTATATAAAAATGCAACAAATATATATATATATATATATATATATATATATATATATATATATATATATACCGTATTTTCACGACTATAAGGCGCACTTAAACGTCTTTTTTTTCCCTCAAAATGTGCGGTGCGCCCTATGGTGCGGTGCGCCTTATGTGTGTTGTAACTGCGACTTTTGAGACCACCTCATTGAGGAGATGATGAAAGAGTGGCTGAATGTAAGGAGACCAGGTGTTTTTTTTCCACCCCTCACCATCGCTGTTAATATGTAACTCCATGCGTGCCCATCTCACAGCTGATGTGAAAAACATGGGGAAACAAATTAACGCTGCTCAACATCGGTGTGAACCGGACCCAGCAGGTGCAGCAGAAGCAGCGAGTTTACATGCAAAGTCAATGGTTGACGCGCATATAGGTGCAGCAAAAGGTCCCACAGCGCATTTTGGTGCAGCACGTCGGGAGCGTTTAAGCATCTGAAGCGCCGCGCTTCTGCTGCTCGAGATGGAAAAATGGAGGTTTTGCTGCTGGACGCGCCGCATCAACCAATCAGAGAAGCTGATCTGGGAGCTGCCAGCGAGACAGACAGCGCTCTGATGACATATGATATTAACGCAAATGAAAAGGCTGGGTGGATGCGTGGCTGAGGCAGGTGTATGTGAGAAGACTAGGTGGTTTTTTCCACGCATCACCATCGCTGCGTGCCCATCTCACAGCCGATGTGAAAAAAAGGTGAATCAAATGAACGCTGTGCTCGCCGTTATCCCGGGGGTCTGACAAAGGAACTTCAACCGCTCGACATCGGTGTGGAGCAGCCGTTCACAGTAAGGCTGCAAGCGGCGTGGGAGCGATGGATGACAGACAGAGACCACAGTTTCAGGATAAGAAGGCAGCGCCGGGCAGATTACGCCACAGTTTGCGGATGGATTGTAGATGCTTGGACTAAAGTGTCTGCTGGCTCTGTTGTTCAAGCTTTCGCAAAAGCAGGCATTATTTCTGAGGAGCTGCGCTGCACGGAAAGTGACTGACAGCGCAGATGGGGAAACTGGCATGTCTGATTTAGCGCAGCTGTTTAATTCAGAAACAGAGGATGATGACTTTGATGGGTTTGATTAATACTTTGTAATAAATACATGAATAAAGCACAATCATACTCAGTTTTGCTCCCGCTGTATTTTTCTCCCTGAAAACTTAATTCAACAGCATCCCCGGCGCGTCTCCTCCTCTTCATCGCGGTGGCTGGCAGGTGTTTTTTCATCTAAATAATCTAAATCTTGCAGCTATATTTGCTGTGATCAGTGGGAATAAAGTAGTTTTAATATGTTTTTAAGTGAGAAAGTCCACCTGAAAACTTAATAATTGCAGTCAGTTCATCCAGATTATCTATTTCTGTCGGAGGCGCTCAGACCCCCACATACCAGCGGTGCACCGACAGCAGAAATCTCTTCATCAGCAGCCTGTAGGCTGGGCAGCCTGGGGTTCACCGCGGCTGCTGGCAGGTGTTTTTCATCTAAATAATTTAAACTGCAGGCACCAGGATACCGGTAATAAAAGCGAACATATTCTGTCGGCAGGTTTCAGGATTTTAAGTTAATTTAGGAGTGATCACAGCGCTGTGTCATCTGCGATGTGTCTGTCTCACGGCCAGCTGCCAGGTTTGATTAATACTTTGTAATAAATACATGAATAAAGCACAGTCATACTCAGTTTTGCCCCCGCTGTATTTTTAAATACGCAGTAGAGGTATTTAAAGGTAGTAGAGGACTTGTACCTGTATATAAAAAACGCGCCCTATAGTCCGGTGCGCCTTATGTGTGTGTTAAATACAGAAATGGGACACAACTGAGAGTGCGCCTTTTAGTCCGGTGCGCCTTATGGTCGTGAAAATACGGTATATATATATTTTTTTTTTTTTTTTTTTTTTTTTTGACATTTATGTTGATTTTAATACTGTTGTTTCATGCTAAAATCTTAAATATTACATTGATATTCACAATATTATTAAATTTAGCTCTTCTGTTCAGCTTAATAATAGAAAATGTAAGTCTTTATTTAAGCCATGTTCCTAGGAAAAAATTCCTAGTTATGGATCTTTTTTTTGTGTATGTGCATTTTAATGCATGGTCAGCATTACAGCCGTACTGTTGCACAAAAAAGACAGTAAAGAAGCTGTTAGTATTTTTATTATCACCTCTATAAAAACACAGCAAATATATTTTCTTTTGTTTAAATTGCCCTTCCCTAGCATGAAAATAGTTGGTGATTTATGTTTGGACTTTGAGTGGGACACATAAACATAAAAACATTTTATGTGAAGTGTTTCACTTTAGCTGTAAGCTCGGAGTCTGGAAGTTTAACCTTCACCCCAGTTTAAAGCATCTAAAATGGAACTGCATCTTACTCCCTCCATCCTCCCTTCCAGTCTGACGAGTTTCTTCCTAAGGAAATGCATAATATTGTCACCATCATGTATCATGGAGGGAAGGAATTGTTCCGTTCGATCTGCAGCGCATGAATTTCTTTAAAGATTTTTGCATCTTTTCGCCACTCTTCTATGAATAACATATTAACATACAGACCAACTGAGCTGTGAATCTCTGCAGCTACCACGGGTCACCTTCTGTTGTCAAAGAAACTAAGCACCCCTTTAAAGCACTGAATTTATACTAAGAACAGCTCATATATAGATTAATTCCATTCACTTGTTTCATGAAATGTAAATTCAACCAGTAGAAAGTGTTGAAGACAAAAAAAAATGTTCCAACTACCACTCCAAATATGTGAGAAATTTCAAAAGATATGAATGCATATATGGCTTACGATGCGTAGCAGCCACATCAGGGTGAAGCTGGAGGTGGAGTAGTGGGTCCCATAGTGAAACTTCGGCACCTGATCATCCTCCCAGGACTCATACCTATCTGAGAAGAAGGCTGCCCTCTTGGGGTTCAGAGCTCCAATAGGCTGTAAAAACAAAACAAATTTTAATACAAAGGGAAAATCCAGCCCTTTCTCCGAGAATAGCTCTACTTGATAAAACAACAAAGCTAAATGTAAACAAAAAAGAGGGAAAAAAATAATCAGGCCAGACTCTCTCTGTGAATAAATTTAGAGACCACTCCCTGCAGCACAACAGTTACAATTGCACAGGAAATGAGGCAGGCAACCAATGTGCAATTCCAAATGAATATTAGATGATGTTTTCTTTAGACGAGGATCAATCCTTCCCCTCAGAGTGCTTTTCAGAGGCTGTGAAACGGAGCCCCTGCAGCTGTAGTCTGTCAGAGAAAACTAATGTGATCCAATGAAAGAGCACCTAAGAGGAATAGCAGCAGCAAAGCTGGGGCTGCCTTTAATTTCTGTTTTTATTAATCCATATATAATACACTGCTCACAAGCTCTATTTGCAGTGCAAAAGAAATGTTGGGGTTGCATTAATTTTCCATTGATCTCTAAAAACCCAATACTTCTTTGCTCGGCTATTATTTAAATACTCATTTATAGAAATCACTTTCAGGCTGGTTCAATTTTTATTAGTGCTCTGTAGGATGTGCCTCATTCTCTATACCCCCAAGCCACCCATCACCTCTCCCTAACACACACACACACACACATACACACAGAGGATCAATGGTAATGGAGTGATGGCTTTTTGAGGATGAGGACCTTGCAGGCTGTGAATCAATTGGATCTCCTTCATATCACAGCACGCCTGTCACTGCAAGATTCATCCAGGCGAGCTCTCAGTTATCGATCTATGCTATTGTTACTTTTTTCTGTGGGTGTAATGGGGCATATGTCTGTGTTTCTATGCGGACTGGGATAGATCTTTGAGTAGTACAGCGGCGGTTTCTTTTTATTTGTGCACGTGTTTGGTTATCTGGTAAATGGTGCTCCTGAATGAGCGTAAAATGCAGCGCGCCGCCACACTGTGCAGCTTCGCACTGACAGTGATACACTGTGGGCTTCCTCAGGGCCGCTGGGGTGGTTGAGTACACACTGTGAATTATACATCACACCCATTGGTCTGATTTATAGCCCTAATAACAGTCGGCTCATTAAAAAAAGAAAAGGAAGAGGAGGCATATAAAATAAAAAAAAAAGACTGAAAGTGCCACAGTGACAAGAGAGGGAGAATTGTGTGCGAGTGCATGTGGGGGCTGTTGGTCCGCTCAAACTCGACAATGTTTACAGCTCTAAATTATTGTAGGGCTGGCGCTCTCAGCTTACAGTAGCTCCAACGTAGCACCTCTGACGGCGCCGTACATCACTGTCGCTGCACCGCAGATTGGCCTAATATGTTGTGGCACACTGCAGCGCTCTGATGAGCACACAGAAAAATGAACCAATCTTCTAGTTTTAATTAGACCAAAGAGTGAGGCACAGAAGAGAAACAAACTGCTGCCCTGAAGTGGTAAACATCAGAAAATTAACGCTGGATTAGTTTTAATCCGTTCTTCATCAATGAATGGGGATTCACAGGAAATGGCTACACTGTGAAAAACCAGTGAGCAAATAAACACAGTGATACAAGACCTATGCAAAACACTCAATGCAAGATTACATGATTATTTATGATCAGATCCTTGCAAAAAAACTGTTTAGCGTTGAGAATTTTAAGCTGCCCAAAATCAGCTCTTACAACAAACTGTCTGGCATAAATCACTAAGAAAAAAAAAGCAAAACAGAGATATCTTTAATGTCTACACCTGGACAAGATGAGGAACAAGAATTCGGTTGGTGACTATAAACAGAAAACCATTTGGTTTAAATAAGGAAGACTCTAGTATCGGTAAGGTAGTTGAAAAGTTAAACAGATGGAATGAAAGTCCAGAGATGTTAGAGGATGTCAAAAATATCATGAGAGAGTAAGATTCTTTACAGCTAACATGAAGGATGAACATATTATAGCAAAGAACATATAACACTTACCACTCGAGCAAGCAGCTGGCTGGCTCAAGTGGTAAGTCACCCGTCACCTGTTTTGCATACAGGAAGCCTGGGTTCATATCCCAGCTGGACGTAAAGATCTACCAGTGTGGGTCCTTAGGCAAGACCCTTTACGCTAATGCCTGCTTTGGAGAGTAGCGGCCTAGTGGTTAGGGTACTGGGCTTGGAATCCTGAGGTTCTAAGTTTAAGCCCCACTCCCACGGACTGCCACTCTGGGGACCCTGAGCAAAACCATTAACGCCCCACACGGCTCCCCGGGAGCCGCACAATGGCAGCCCACTGCTCCCCAAGGGGATTGTTTATATGCAGAGCGTTAATTTTGTTGCTCTTTATTTGTGACAGTGTAATGACAATGAAACCCTGGAATCTTTTTTAAATTCTGCAATTCTTTCAACAACCACAGTGGGATATGTTGGATTTAGAAATGCCATCTCTTAAAGACGGATGTTTATGTGAGGCAAGCCAAACCAGATATAACCAGATGCTAAAAAGCTTTGAAAATGAAAGCTTAAAACTCATGTTGCTTTCCTGATTGTAGTAAATAGCTCTAACAGTAACCTCTACTACTAATATAAATAACTGACCAATCCTCGACAACAGATCTAAGAAAAAAATTGTATAAAAGATTTTATGATATGATGCTATATTGTAGTTTTTAAAGAGAAACTGGGGCAAATCAAATAAAGATCCTCAGATTTAAATGATAAATACCAAAGAAATCAACCACCAAACTAGGAGCTACCCCCCCCCCCATCAATCAGGACTCTATAACCCCCAGTGAAACACTTATTTCATCTGCATCAACTTCCATCAATTGATGCCAAGAATTATTCTTTAAAACATGTCAATAAACGCAAAAATTTTACAATGAGAGCTCAATGCTTTTTATTGTAAAGAAAACCCCCTCTTTTTCAGAACAATCAGTAGCATCCTGGGGGATTTTAAACATCCATTACCCAGTGAAGCTCTGCTTATAAAATGACAAAAAGTCTGCCCTGTGGAAATATAATGGGTTACCAATGACTGGAGCATCACTCATACTTTGAGTCTTAAATCATATGAACCTCCGCAAGTGTTTATGTACAACATCCCATAAAAAGAGCGAAAATTGTGTGGAGGCCCAGCGGGACAAGCACACAAGGCATCCTTGTGCTAGATCAATACACTATTAGCTGATCTGACTGAGAGGAGCACATTATAGCACAAAGGTACAGAGATCACTCATTAAGTCTACCATAGTGCTATCTGTGTGTACATGTAGACTACATACTAGATAAAATGGCCTTTTAATTGTTTCCTGGTCTTCTTTGAAAGCTATAAAAAGAAAGGTTTTATCTTTGTTGAAGCAACTATTGCTGCAACGACAGCTGGTGTGTCTCTTCCAGCTTTGCAATTTTATGCATTCTCCTCTTCAAAATAGCCAATCAGCTAAATTTGATGGAAAGAAATCTGTAAACATCAACCCGCTTACCAAATATTCCCAGTTTAATCTATGTCTTAATAATTCAGTTGTAGGTTTGGCTCCATGTTTGGAGGCATTGTCCTGCTACAGGGTAAACCTCCATCCTGGTCTCAGGTTTTTAACAGCCTCCAAATGTAAAAAAACAACCCAGTCTCATGGGAAAATGTACCCCCACTACGTTGGTCCACACTGCAAAACGTAGTGGAGGTACATTAATGGCCATTTTTTTGTGGTACTGTTACGTTTCTTCTACCTATACGCTTTCTATTGTTTTACGTCATAGTCACGTGACTTTCAAGATTCCAGCTGGGAGAAGAAAAAAAAATAAATATATGGCCGACATTCGCTCATTTTTTTGTGGAAAGATTAATAACTTGAGTTTGTTTTTGCATTAAAATGAGTTTTGATTACATTTCTAGTGAGAAATGTATAGTTTGTTACCAGAATATTTACTCAGGGAATGTACATATTCACTTGCTTGTTCGTTTCTTGCAAAGATTTTTCAAGATAATGTGAAACTGTAACATTTTGGTATAAACATGGCTGAGATTTCTCTAACTTTTAGTGGGAAAATCAATAATTTCAATCAGTTTCTGCATTTAAATGGGTTTTTGATTACATTTATAGCGAGAAGTGTAGGGTTTATTTACATAATATTTACTTAGTGAACATACATAATCACCCGCTTGCTATTTTTTGCTACGTTTTTCGGATCTCGTCGGAATTATGTGAAATTGCAACGTTTTGGCTGCTACCCATCGCCTAGCATTTAGCTGCCGCCCCGATTCAACATTGAATTCTTTGTGATTTAACTCCATCTGACGGATCAAACCCTCGCCACTGCGGCGTTGCGTCTGAGGTTGATTTTCAGATCAATGCATTACGTCGTGGCATACGGGAGAAACTAATTAAACTAGTTAAAAAAAGGATCATGGTTTAAGATCGGATGTGTTTTATTTGGAAATCTACCGGATCCTTTGTGCATTTCACTTCCTGTTTGGTGCGATCTCATTGATGGGTTTTGACCAGATTTTGACCAAAGAGGAACTAAAAAAAAAAAAAAAACAATTTAAATACACAACCAGCATATCTGGAATCAATGACAGAGAGCATACATAATCAACCCCTTGCTAGTTTTTGCTACGTTTTTCGGATCTCGTCAGGATTATGTGAAATTGCAACGTTTTGGCTGCTACCCATCTCCTAGCATTTAGCTGCCGCCCCGATTCAACATTGAATTCTTTGTGATTTAACTCCATCTGACGGATCAAACCCTCGCCACTGCGTGCGTTGCGTCTGAGGTTGATTTTCAGATCAATGCATTACGTCGTGGCATATGGGAGAAACTAATTAAACTAGTTTAAAAAAAGGATCATGGGTTAAGATCGGATGTGTTTTATTTGGAAATCTACCGGATCCTTTGTGCATTTCACTTCCTGTTTGGTGCGATCTCATTGATGGGTTTTGACCAGATTTTGACCAAAGAGGAACTAAAAAAAACAAAAAACAATTTAAATACACAACCAGCATATCTGGAATCAGTGACAGAGA